GCCACTGACCGCGATCACGAGCTCTATGCTAGGCATTAGAGGCTAGGCCTATGTGCCTGGGATTTGCAACACTAGGGGGCCTCTATAGCCAAACTATAGTAGAAAGCCTGGTCCTAGGCTAGTTTAATATAGGACTGTAATAGTAAAATTCAGTATAAGTAGTCATATGATTACAGGTTTACATTGTACCAAGGTCGAAGTTAACGATCGCATTTATTTTTCATTAAAAATAAAAAAAAAAAACCCTAAAAAAAAAATTAATTTAACTTAAGGATTTTAAAATATTTATTAAAAAAAAAACAAAAACAAAAACAAAAAACAAAAACTGTAGACCTAAAAAAAAAAAAATTAATTCAACTTAAAACACAAACAACGCGATAGGATATGAAGTTTGCGATAATGAATAAAAAAAAATAAATAAAGTAAACTTAAAACACAAACAACGCGATAGGATATGATCAGTTTGAGAGAATAATTGGTATAGTGTACTGTATTTCTGAAGTGCCATTCGTTTTGGGGTTGCTACAATCAGGAGTTATAATCAATCCAACAAAAGAAAAGCACTATCAATTTCCTTACATTCCAAAAAGGAGGATTTGGTATGCTATTTAAAATTTGCTGGAGAAAAATTAACTGTTAACTGCGTTGTTACTGGTTTAAAAACTGCCGGGGCCAGATTGAAAGAAACTACGGTATTCAGGTTTTGCGACTTAATAATTGTGGATTGTGTGGTTAGTAAATTCCATAGCCATACTGTCCATAGCGCACACCAAACTATTTGCTGATGGATCCTTGTTGGGAAATTGACTCTACTTTTTTCCATCCCAAACAACATATTATTAATAAATCAACATGGTCCATCTCAGTCATCATAGCGAGTCACAAAATTAGGAAGTTTGTTTTCAACAGCAGACACACTGCCAATAAAACAATTCGCGGAAGAGGAGTATTCAAAATATCGGTACTGTTAATGTGGGACTAATCAGATGACTGACGCCGTTCTCCATCGACAATTGATTTTTTGTGCATTATTTATCTACAATTCTTATCTACAGTATATACACTAGAAAATATTTACACTCACAATTTAAAAAAAAAAAGTTACCAACAACGACATCTAAATAGCTGTGGGAAAAACAAATTATCAGCCTGCTGCTCTCTGCCTGAAAAGTGATCGTAACCGAACAACAATGATGCAGCAACACGCTTGGTCAACTTGTAAAAATTTAGAGCCTTCTGCTGTTTGCCCATGAAACAAATTTTGGAGTGTTATACAGTACAATTTCAAAACAATGTCATCGTAAAGAAATAGCTATAGTATTGAAAACAAACAACTTGAAACAAAATCCGTGTACGGATTTAAATAAATATTTACAATAGATTTTAATGGTCAACTTGTTGTCAAATTTTACGACCAATTTTTGCATACATTTGTGAGTGACGGTGTGTAATAGACATGCAAAACAAACATTAGCGGTTAGCTGTATAATATCTTTGAATATCATTTTAGACTGATTCATTCATATGCTTGGTCATCTTGTAATCATTTAGAATTCAACTGTTTTTAATAATAGGGTCCGTATCTCTACACTTCTAGACGTAGTATCAAATTATAGTTGCCAAAGACCCGGTTTCATACACACTCGCAAGTAAATTTCAAAGGAAACTGTTTTCCCAATTTTTCTTATTGTAAATACTCCTATGCAATACTGTAGTCCCCTGGTATAAAATTGACAGATCAGTTAGACACTCTGAAAAGATCGATTACGCCCTTTTATATAAGGCGGCCATAGGCATAATGTGTGTGAAGTACTGACTTTGTTAATATCGAATGGGTGAAATTGCGCACAAACTTCAAACTCTTGGCCTAACATACAATGCCAGAGGAAAGGATATCACGTTTTAGTCACCAAAAAGGATTTTCCACGGACGCACAGAGTAGGCCTTCGAATAGTATGGCCCAAAGCGAACTTCGTTAAGGCTTATACAGTACAAAATTTTAAAAAAACTTTAAAATGAAGGACTTTTAAATGAAGTTTATGTATATATACTAATATTTTGCGAATCTTGGGTTTTTAAAAGCAATCTTGGGATTTTTTAGACCCAATCTTGAATTTTGATTTTTCCTAGTAGTCACGCTGCATTTAGAGACAGAATTATACCCCGACGACATCAAAGTAAGTACAGTAGGACGTAGGCCATAGGCCTATATTTAAAAAAAAATACATTTTGTTAATTATTATTGATTGGCCTAGGACCTAGGCAGGCAGGCCAGCTTTGCCGTCGAAAGTCCTGGGATTCGACGATGACGTCAGTGCACATGTTTACAAACGCCATTGATTGGAATGAAAATAGACGCGCTGAATTTCGTTTGCTGTCTCTTATACACATCTAGATGTGTATAAGAGACAGGTTTATGACATTTCTTGTGATAAACTATTTAATCTTCTGTTTGCTGATGGCTCCAAGTTCTATTTAGATTATGTTAAAGCTAGAAAAAGTACAGGTAAGTTTCACTAATGAAGATGAGAGTCAAGAAGAAGTTCAGCTTCTACTTTATTTTGTAACAGGCAACTCTATTTTTTTACATAGGCCTACAGGAAGATTCATTATTTTAAGTTAATACAAGACAAAACTTCTTAAATATTTTAAATATTATAATAATAAGTACATAATTCTTTGTAAATTACTTTGTAGGCCTATAAATAGCTTGTTTTGTTTTATAATAATAAATGTGTTGAGTATATTGATATTGATTGTGCGATGAGGTTTTTTTGTCTTTCCGTGTGATTAAAACATGCCAATTATCAGGAAATATTTTCAAATTTTATTATATTACCACCTTTTATTACATAGATCTTTTTCAAAAAATAACTGCTTTTATAACATTATATAGACACATTAAACACAAAAACTGCTCTGGCTTCGGGGGCTTCGCCCCTGACCCCACCTGGGTCCTTAGGCAATCTTCTGGACCCCACGCCAAGAGAACCCCCCCCCCCCTTGAAATGACCTGGCTACGGGCCTGGTATTATAGTTTATTATTTTTTAAAAACTACAATGTCGGGGCCACTGATTGCAACAAACTGATTATATCCTATCGCGTTGTTTGTGTTTAAAGTTAACTTTATTTATTTTTTTTATTTTTTTTCAATTTTTTTTTAATCGTACAAGTTTGGAATATTTTAAAATACTTAAGTTATTTTTTTTAAATTATTATTTTTTCTTAAATTTTCAATGAAAAAAAATGTGATCGTTAATGGAATGTAAACCTGTAAACATATGACTACTTATACAGAATTTTACTATATTATAGGCCTAGTCTAGGACCATGCTTCCGACTATAGTATATAGGCCTAAGTGTACAAAGAGTACTAGGTTAGGTAGGCCAGGGCTTGGGAGATGTGACGCAGTTTCTATCGTTCTTTCTCGTTTATTAGATAAATAAGCTCTACAATGGCGGATCCTGTTTGCTGGAGAGGAGAGGGTGGGGGTGGTGTGGAAAGACTATGCAGCAGTCAAATAAATCAGTATTCACGAGTGTGTCATGAATCATTTAGTAAGAGATATAAATCTACTTCACGATAGATAGCCTGGAAACACATACGCTACGCCCTTGCGGAAGATGGGTTTCTTTTTACAAGAGATTCTTAAAGTAGACTTTCAATATTTATATACATAGACATGAGGTCTATTCTATATTAGTGTCTTCACACCATTAATTTGAATATTTGATTTATGTTTATATAATTTCATTCATGCTAAACTAACTTTAATATATATGATGTTTAATATCTGCATCTATCTCTCTCCTTCTACACTTGCTCTCATACCATACAAAGCAGTTATTTAGTTGTTTTTTTAATTTTCATTACTTTCGATGGTTACCAATTTGTTATTCCTTAAAAGTTTTCTATTATTTTTTTTAATTTCCATTTCTTTCATGTACCTTTCTTAATTGGCAATCATCCTGAAATCCAACGTGTCAGTTGTCGGACTTCCTTCTAAATGGTGTTACTTCACTGCCATAGGCAAGTCTCACTATCATTATGAGATGTTTGATAATTGCATGATATCCCTAATTATACATATACACAATCTTGATTCACAGTGCTGGTAGTTTACATATGTAAATATGAAAAAAAAAAATTTTGGCCGCCATCTTGATATCCTATATAATTTCTAATACAGGTATATGCATGATACTCCCGGATATCGAAAACACGAGTAAAGACCATTGACAGTGCTAGGTGTTGTAGATATTACGATATTTACAACATTATCAATAATTAACTTGGCGGCCATCTTGAAATAGTATGGCAGCAATCTTTAAATTCAATTTTATGACATAATTTCTGATGGATGCATGATAGTCCTTGATATCGAAAACATAGGTAACGGTCTTTGATTGACAGTGCTAGGTGCTGTAGATAAGATATTGACAAAAATAGCAATAATTTGGCGGCCATCTTGAAATCCTATATGGCGGCGCCATCTGACATAATTTCTGATGATTGCATGACACTCCCTGATATTGAAAACATGGGTAATGATCTTCATTTGGCAATGACATGTGCTGTAGATATGAATATATTGGCTAAAATCAAATCAAATATTTTGGCGGCCATATTGGATTTCAAGATGGTGGCCATTAGGAGGCGTTATTTTTTGGGGTCTATTTTTTTTAATGATCTTTAGGTGTCATAGTATCACTGTGGGAAGTTTCATGCTTTCTTCTAGAAGTGCACGATTCTGCCTGAAATTCAACCTTAGCCGCTCTAATATTAGAGTCGTGTTTTCTCTCTTGTTTTTTTACAGAGTTAGTCTAGTCTGTCAACATGGTTTTAGGCTCGTAATGACCTACCGTATGCATTTAAGATTAGAAGAAGAAGATGGATTTGTTTTTCATAGTACAGTATTCCTTAAAAGATGTTGCTGTGACGCCGTGGTGAACGGACGTGTTTGCATTGAGCTCTCCGTTTAGCGATAATTTGAATAGTATGGCGACACGTGGAGCAACAATGAAGGAACTCCAGCTTAACGCTGACATTACAAAGCCAGCAACGCAGGGTGATATCAGGAAAATTCTTGAACGAATCGACAAGCTAGGCTCGGAAATAAATCCTCGTTTAGATAAGATAGAAAATAAATTGGCAGAGTTAGAAGAGCAAGTAGATGACCATAGACAAGCAAACATTGAAGAGATAGAGTCATTGAAAGCAAGCATGGAGAAACTGGAGAACCAATCAAGAAGAAATAACTTGATATTTAAAGGCATACCACAGAAAGACAACGAGAAATGGGAAGAAACGGAAAAAATGGTGTTGAAATGCATTAGAAATGATTTGAAAATACAGGATGAGATTCAAATAGAGCGAGTACATAGGCTAAATACCAAGGCAAAAGGAAGCAGAATAATTGCACGATTTGCTAAATACAAGGATAAGCAACGCATATTGAAGAATGCATTGAAATTGAAAGGATCACGGATAAGTATCTCGGAAGATTTTGCTCCAAAAACGAGAATAATTAGAAGCAAGCTGTTGGCCAAAAGAAGAGAAATTATTAACGAAAATGAAAACTGCTCAGCTAAGCTGAGATATGACAGGTTAGTGGTAACATACAGTTATGGTGTTGTTGAAACATTCATATTTAATGAAAAGAAAAACAAAGTTGTTAAACAACAAGACAAAGCTAAGGAAGGAAGTAGATATAATGGGTCAAGCGAAGTGGCTGAGGAGTAGGAAGGAGGTCAAGGTCCGTCGGTGCGTGACATTAAATGTATAGCATGGAACATACATGGAATTAGAGATAAATGGGGTGCAGAAGACTTCATGAGTTATCTCAAATAATTTGATATCATTGGACTGTCAGAAAATTGGTCTAAATCTGATTTTTTTTATGGAAGGATATGTTTCGTTTAACGTACAGAGCAAAAAAGCTTCGACTAAAGGAAGGGAGTCGGGTGGTATATTGTTATTTATAAAATGTGAATTATCAAAATATGTCAAAAGATTAGATTTTGATGATGATTTTATTTGGATTATAGTGGTTCCCCCAGGCAATTCAGACCCATTCATATTATGTAATTTATATATAAGACCAATTACATCTAGCTATAATGAGGATATGGATGTATTTGATAATATAACAGTAACTATGTCAGAAATACGTGCTAAATACAATATTACTAACTATATATTCATTGGCGACTTTAACGCCCGGACAGGGGTGCTTGATGATACCATTTTATTTGACGATGTTAATTACCTCCCAATTGATGAAAATGATTATGAAATTGGCATATCAATATGTAATAGATCAAACTGTGATAGAGAAATTAATGACTATGGGAAAAAGCTGATTGAGCTATGTAAAAATACGTCAATGTGCATAGTTAATGGAAGGAATGAAGGTGACAAAAAGGGCGAATTTACGTTTATTAATTATAATGGCAAAAGTGTTAATGACTATTTGATTACATCTACTTCTTTCTTCAATAAAATAAGTAGTTTTAAAATAGGTAACCGAATAGAATCAGATCACTTTCCCTTAATTTTTGATATCAATTTTAGTAAAATAGACCAGACACATGTTAAAAAAAGGGGTAACTCCAAACAGCAAACACCAAGTTATTACTTTGATTACGAAGGTTATATATCAAATGAAAATGAAATCAAGATAAATAATATATTAAATGATATTGAAGTATTACTGCAAAATAATGAAGATATTAACATAATTGAGTCTAACTTCATTAGCTTATTTATTGATTTTGCAAAAATAAGAAAAAATAAAAAATCATATGAGTCATCCAGTGATTGGTTTGACAAAGAATGTAGAAATAAAAGGAAAGAAGTTTATAAAGCTTTAAACATTTTCAGAAATGATAGATCCAACGAAAACTTAGCTACATATAAAGGAAATAAAAAGGAATACAAAAGGTTGATTCAGATTAAAAAGACTAAATACTCTAAATCTTTAACTGAAAAAGTCATAAATTCATTAAAAGTTGATAATGGAAAACATTTTTGGAATTTATTTAGAAAAAGAAAAATCCAAAATAACGACATACCTGATAGTGATTGGATAGATTATTTTTCAAATTTATTTGATACTGACCAACAAATAATAAATGAGATTGATAATAGGCCTAATGGTATGTATAGCAATATA